AAATTATTTCCCATTAATTAATACGTATCTAAACCATGTTAGAGAAGCGAGAGTCTCGTGCGTACCTATCGATCTACAATTAACCTTGCCGCAAGCCATTGATAACAGGTCGCAGGTGATCATCTTTTAAAACAAACAGCTAGACCAGTGTTTTTACAACAATTCACACCCAAATCAAGAAATCTGAGCAGACTTGACAGACAAGTTAAAAAATTATCGTCCGGATAAATGAACCAAAATATAACGTAAAAATTCATTTTGTGGTGAAAAAAGACCGTCCGGATACGGAACGCGGAATTCCGGTTAAACGAGACAAAATAACGTTAAAAAATTTCGTTCCCATGAAAAATCGTCCGGAAACTGAAGTGTCCGGATATCTCGCGTCCGGATATCTGAAAGTCCACTGTAGCTCATAAGAATCCAATTTGCTGCATAGACCTTTAGATACCCCTTCGTCAAATACCCCTTCGTGAAATAACTACTTCGACAACATCTTCTGTCTGATAGGTCCACAAGTGTAATTTCACATATGTATTTGTAGGAAAGTAAATCTATTTAAAAGATGTCGATTATATTTCATGTATAATCCTTGGTACAGAATCACACGGATGAGAAGACTAAGTTTCTGAAATTGTGTCTGATCCTTTTGACTGTTTAAAAATGCTCAATTCAATTAAGACTCACAAAAGACTCATAAATAATGCATTGCAAGTAGGAGGGTTGTCCCTCAATTCCGTAGATGATTAAACGCTTTGTAGTGACCCAGCGTCATAAATTAATAAAAATTAAATAGAAATAATAATGAAAGTTCAATGTAACAGTTTAAGTAACTACACGGATTGTCTGTCTGCTCGCGAAAATTTTATTCTCGCGTATCAGCTGCGTATATTAAATATTGTTCAAGCTATATACAGTAATCACAAAAGCTTGCACATTTTTGTCTCGCTTATAAATACCAGATAGCTATTTCGTGAAAAAAGGGTGTCGCAAAAATATAGTGATCTACAGTAACTGGAACCCACTTTGTATTTTGGTTGTAAGGACCATTATTTACGTTAGGAGTTGATCCTTACGTCGCGGGCTCGAATCCCACTGTGGGACGTGGAGACCGGTCCTTCGGATGAGACCGTATAAACGGAGGTCCCATGTCGTAGTAGGTGCTGGCACGAAAAAGATCCCTCACTGCTCAATGGCCCTGAGTGCCGAGTATAGGTCAAAATTTGCAGCTCTCCACCGGCAAGTGGTGGCGTCTCCATATGAGTGAAAAATTCTCGAGTGGTACGTTAAACAATAAACAAACAAACAAACAAACTTTAGAATCCAATATAAGTATGGTGATTCAAATTCAATTTGGTTGTTAGTATATGTAATATGAATATATTTAACACTGACATATGATTTTGAAGAATTTCCTCCCTACAAAGGGAACTATGAGTACAAATTGGATAACCACTCCCAGAATAAAATCCAAATTCCTCTAATAAAAATTCCTCTTCACAAATAAATAATGAAACAAGGAAAATGTTGTTACCTGCTTCGTCAGGCGGGGCCAGTGCATATTGATTGTGTAATCGATCTATTTCTTCACTTATGAATTATTGAAAACAAAAGGATGTTTTTTTTCTTCAATATCCCTTTCAGCCGTTTGATGAGTTTTTTTTTTTTTTTTTACATCTATCTGTCACTTTTAATCTGGAAAGTGTGTCAAGGCTTTTTTTATGTTTGAACCATCGTCTGGTGTTGTTAATAACCAAAATATCATATATCTGAAAGAAGATGGGTGAACAAGGCGTGCAGAATGCCTATAACTTCAGATATTAATAAAATCATATTCAATTTGTGAATTAAGTATTTAAAATAAAGTTCTCATTATTGAAATTTATGAAATTATGATCAACAAAATTTTTCTGAGAAAAAAGATCACGGAAAAAATTATTCTTTCATTAAAAAAATAAAATGGTATTCGTGGGATTCGAACCCCCTATCAATAAAAATCCGGAGTATCATATTGTTTTGAGACTAACACGCTAACCACTACGCCACGCAGCTCCTGACGAGTAGTGGCATTTAAATCATGTTTGTGATATGACCCTTGACTTAATGGACTTCAAGTATTTCTCGGAAATTTCCGAATGCTTTGTCATAAAAGTGTACTTTTAAGGTATAGTGGGTCTTTGCTCCATGTTTTTGTAAACCAAAAAATGTATAATTTTATGCAAACTTTTAGGATCAACTTTCAAAAAAATGGAGCGAAGACCCACTCATATCGAAAAATTTTGTTAAAGTATGAGAAAATGATCCTTTTTGTCCTCTTTAGTGTGTGTATGCTATTTCGTAGGCAAATAATTTCAGTCTTTGTGAGATTTTTGTAAATTGTAGAGATTTAGCATAAAATATACTTTAATGTTAGATGAAATATCAAAGAAAATTTTTATATAATTGAGATTTTATTTTTCACTTCATGTTTGTCGCACTATAGGCACTTCGCCCGCCTTGTTCACCCATCTTCTTTGTCGTTAGGTAAAATTTCTTTCCTCCATTCATGTCCAGTTCACTTTTTCAATTCGATATCGTCAACATCGCAATGTAGACATTATTGACGCAATATAGAGTTTACACCGTCTACATTGTTAGTATTTCTATGTTGACATTGTCAACATAGCAATGTCGACAATATTGACACGATATCGTAATTACATCGTCTACTGTAACATTGTTTTCATTTAATATGTTGACATCGTCGACATTGCAATGTTGATGCGATATCGAGTTTACATCGTCTGCATTGTTATTATTTCTACATTGTATGTCGACTTCGCAATAAAGACATTGTTGATATGAGTTTACATCGTCCAACGTTGCAATAACGACGATGTAAACAAAAAACGGATTCAATGTTGACACGATATCGAAACGATATCGTCCAACATTGCAATGTTGACAAAGTAAACGATGTAAACAAGAAAACAGAATGCGACGTTGAAACGATGTCGACTCGATATCGCCCAAAATTACAATGTCGACGATGTTAACGATGTAAACAAGAAAACAGTAGGCAATGTTGACGCACGGTCTCGACTCAATATCGTCCAACACTACGATGTCGACGATGTTAACAAGAAAACAGAATGCAACGTCGAAGCAATGTCGACTCGATATCGTCCAACATTGAAATGTCGACGATGTGAACGATGTAAACAAGAAAAAAAGAAGGCAATGTTTATGCAACGCAATGTCGACGAAGTGAAAGATGTAAAGAAGAAAAAAGAATGCAATGTTGATACGATGATGTCGACTCGATATCGTCTAACATTGCGATGTCGACGATGTAAACAATAAAAAATGCAATTCTGGCAAGATGTCCACTCATTGTCGTTTAACATTGCAACAGAGATAAACAAAGATATTGTCCAACATTGCTATATCAACAATATAATCAGAATAAGAGAGTGCAATGTTAAGTTGACACCATGTCATCGTCAACTTGATGTCATCCAAAACTGGGATGATGAAATGGTTAACAATGCTAGTGGAATGATGAGCAATGTGTATGAATATTACCATTTAAGTAATGTATATTTTGAAAATTAACAATCTTCAGTAATAGGCTTTGGGGGAAATTCTGCAAAGGACACAATAATTAAAAGTGTAGAGATATTTTGTTATTAAACCAGAAATAAATGAAACACAATGATAGAATAAACTTCAGGTAGTATCAGTCTGACATTTTTGTCCATAAAGGATAGGGTTTTGCTTTTAAATGCTCTTTTTATAAAAGTTGGTGTGGGGGTGTTAATATATTGTCTGTCCCTTTCGCTGTTTGTCTGTTTTTATTTTTTTTTAAGAAATAATAATCTTGTCCTTTTTTATTGCTTGAGGCTAAAGCTGTAAATGTCACATGTTCATTTCGTTTAGAAGACCATTTGATCTTGGTATTTGACTTTCAAAAGTTACTGAATCGTGGATGGAGATTCAAATTACAAAACATCCCCATCGCACTATCACACAACGCACATTGAATAGGAGATATAAGTGGAGAAGAAAATGTTTAAGCATAATGAATGGCACGATATCGGTAGAATTGTAAATAAAGTTATTAAATAAACGAACATGATACACATTTAGTTCCTTTTCTGATTACATGACGATTTTATAAAACTAACGATGCATAGTAATATACGTCAAGAATACCAATGGAGATATAAGCAAGTTTGAATTGAAAAATAAATGGAATATATTGTTTTGTTTTGTTTTTCTTAGCCTAAAAAAAATTCCACTCAACGGGTTGATTCATGATGACCATTCTTTTTCATTTAAATTATCAATTAATTAATTATCATTACTATTTAGAGTGCTTGCCTTTCAAAAGCCAGTTTATAATGTGTGTCATTATATTGATTTAAGAAATTCTTCAACAAAAAAAAAAAACAAAAACACAAACAAACAAACAAACAAACAAAGAAAAGTTTTAAATAGATGTAACCACAGAGAAAAATAATTCAAAGAAGTCAAATCCTTAAGACATGTAAAATTTAATTTTTAAAGCATTGAATACTTCATAATTTTGCTGTCGTCGGTCAGATATATAAATGCGTCTGGCTGTGCCGTAAAAAAACGCGATGGTGAAAAACTTTGTTAAGTCAAGAATGTTCAAAACAATAAGATTAGAATTAATTTAAGATATTTTTTCAAACAATCTTTTTTTTTAGAATATTAATATTCTTAGGCTTACAATTTGTTTTTCACTATACTTATTTCTGACTGGGAGAGTTTTTTTTTTCTTCGATCCATTCTCTTATCAATTCTCATATAAGATTCCGGTAGGCAGCATTCTATTTGTGCCTATCTTTTATGCAGCTCAAATTGATGACGATCGTAAAAATTTGTAAATCACCTGAAAATCATTTTAAAATTTCTTTTTGAATTGGATTCTGTCTTTCTCCAATATCGAGATAAAAGTTATAATGAGAAAATGTTTGACAAATATTGCTGTATTAAATATGGCATTTATCTGGTGTCTTTCTGGACAAGATATTGAAAAGAAAATTCAGTATGGCAAGAGAATGTTAGATGCATTAATTGACATCGTTCAGGGAGTCAGTTTTATAGAGTGTACAGAAGAATGTTTCAGTAGGAGACGGTGTTTGTCAGTAAATTACTGGAGAAGTATACTGTTATGTGAGATGAACAGTGTGAACACATCGTCACATTCACTCTCAGATGAACCCAGGACAGTGTTTGCTAACATTGCATTATGGGAACAGGTAAAATACTGTAAATTCACTTTATCACCCTCATAATGAATTGATATTTCATAATCCCATAATAAGCTATTGACTTATTACTGTTTTCTATCTAAATGTAGCGGACTGTTGTTCACATTGCATATTAATTTTGCTCTCAGTATAAATGAATATATCGTATGTACACTTCTGCAGATTTTTTTTAAACAGTGTTGATTTATTGATAGTGGATTTGGAATGAGTGTGCTTATAAACCTATAAAAAAAGTTCATTAGAAGGAAGCGATCAGAATGGGAGTGAAAGGAATAAAATATATATACTCTTTAAATCCTAATTATTGTTAAACATGTGTGCAACTTGCATATTTCGTAATCATAGTCTGTATGTATTACGGTACATGTGTCTAATAATACAGGTTCTGAGAACTACATGAAATTCCTAATTTTGACATTTAAAGATGTATCCTTTTGAAAACAAGGGGTATAATTCTGTGTCCTCACATAAAATGTTTAATATAGTGTTCGAGTTAGTTTCAAAATTATCAAATCAAGAGAATTTTCATATATTGATTTAATGAAACACCTGGTATATAGAGATAACGAACAGTATTCAAGCTCAAAAGTCCATTCAAACAATACAAATCAGAGGAAGACAAACCCGGCAAACCTCGAGAACATCAGAGACGGGATCAGGTGCCATGAAGGAGTGAGCGTCCCTTACTGACCGGTCCAACTCGCGTTGTTCTCCTTGTCATGATCGGGAAACAACGGGAAAATCCGTAGACAATTTATGTGTGTAAATAGTGGCCTAAAATTAGTAAGAAAACCTCTGTCAGCTTTGGACTTAATGATACATGTAGATTGATTTTAAACGAAACTAGGCTCTATTGATTCTTTAGATTCATCAACTTATTTGTCAATAACATAAATCTTTTTAGAAATATTCATACTTAGAAAATTCTTTTGCGTATCAAATCAAATGAGAGACATAAACACCGTATGCAGGTGATAAAAGTATATTGCTACAATGTACATAAATAAGGGAAGTTGAGGATTGAAAAGTTGAAGTCATCACGTTTACGTTTATCATAAAGCGTTATTTTTAGGTTACTATTCACATTCTTTTCTAGTAAAACATCCATATATGAAACAGATGCGTCAGACTGTGTGGTATCTTTTATTTCAAGCTCATTTGTATATATCGTGTCGATAATTGACCATGAATGGAAATAGCTATTGTTACATGTAATTGATAATACGTCGTCGATATGTCTAAAAGTAGAGTTGAAGGCCACAGCTAGTGTTTTCTCCTTCTCATGTATAAGCTTTTGAATAAACTCTGCTTCAAACAGTAGCAACCAGACCCAACGTGACAGCCAAGCAGGCCGAGAAAGCAGTCCCCGGGACCGCCCTGGGACTGTTGTGGGGCTGCTGTGGGACTGCTCTGGAAAGCAGACCTAGCAGTCCCCGGGACTGCTTTCTGGGACTGTTTTGTTCACTCATGTGTGAAAAAGGTTGTGAGTGACATGCTAGCTCCACCCCTTGTGTATTCTAAATTTGCAGGGGTTCACTATTGTTGCTTTATTTACTTTCAGCAGAGAGTTGAATAAAATAAGAATTTAAAAAACAAGGATTTTCTTTTTTTACAAAATTGTACTAAGTATTGATAGTTACTGAGGAAAATATTTATGTACATGTGTAAATCACTGACTTTGGAATCACAAAGAACACTAAACGTCTTCGGGGGCTGTAAAAGAAATTTACACCATTGCCATTGTAGTCCAGAAGTAATTAAAAAAAAATAATAAAGTAGTTAAAAAGGAAGTCAGGAGATTATTTTTATCCCTTAGATTAATCTTTAATACAGGTGTTTGAAAAAAAAAAATTAATTAATAAATGCTGTCAAATTATCTACTCAAAGTTGGCATTAGCACTATTCTTAAAAAAAAAAGAACTGTCACTACAGTTAGATATTCAGAGCGACGTATTTTGTTTTAAATTGAAAAAGCTAACTTGTAATACCACGTTAAAAAAGAACATTCCATGCTATTTTTAACCGCCTTCAAAATAAAACCTAAAAATTAATTAAAAGATTATGAAATAGAATTATTATACCATTCCTCTCTCACATGAACAATGTGTATACTTATTGTGGGATTAATTTATGAATTAATATTTAATTAATGAACATTTTTTAAAAGAGTATATTCATTTAAAAAATAAACATTTGAAGATATCAGAAATTGTAAATCATTCCTAATTTGTTTTCTGTGTGTTTGAGAAATGAGAACTGTAGTGCCTGGCCAATTAATTAAATGATACACGTTGTAAAAATAGTGTCACCACCTGAGGTTTCAGTCGGTTTTGGGCATAATTACGCAAGTTATTTGTATTCAAGAGTTACACATCACTGAACTTGCTATTCAACAATATAACTAATTCAATCTATGTACTATAAAAATCCTTGTTTCAATTAATATGGTATAATATACTTGTAGAATGAAATATCAAATCTGTATATTTTTTCAACACTGCAGTCAAAACGTTATAATAAAAAAAATCAATGTTTTTAATTATATTCTTAAACACAAAATGTTGTGAATTGAGATAATAGTATATTAAATGTTACTGAAAAATTTCCGTTAACTCTGACAATACCATTAGCAATGCTTATTGATCAAAAATTTACCATTGATTGATTATTTTAATTGGTTAATAAGTTCACTATAAATTTTGTATTTTAAAAATGCTTCAAAGCAACATCATGAAAACATGTCTTCAATTCATATTTCATGGCTTTTCCTTCATAAATTACTGAAATAAACAAATAAATAACCATCCTGAATTGGTTTCTTTATTGATAATCAAACTGTATATCTATCATAAAAAATTGATCATATGTAAAAAAAAAAATCTTCATAATTTTATGTAAGACTTTTCTTTACTTTTTGTAGCGTTTCGTTGGAGGTTGCAGAAATCATCAATGTTCAATTAACATGAAATGTGTACCTGGCCCTATTGGAACTCACAGGTGTGATATTTCAGGTAATTTATCAATCTATAGAAACATTTGGGAGGAATTAACAAGATAGAAAATGTCTTCAAGATAGCAAAGTCTGTAAATTTTGGAGAAATATAAAAAAATTAATAGAAGGAGGAAAACATTGTCTGAAGTGATAATTAAGTTCGATTGTTAACTTTACAGGAAGTTAATTTATGTATATCTTAATAAGCACCGATTTACATGGTACTTTATTATTAAAAAACAATTAAGATAACGAACAATATTAATTACCATGCCCACAGTCTAAAGAATTAATTAAATTTTTGAGCAGAGTCAACATGAATCTTTGAAAAATATCGGGGAACGTACAGGTGCAATGGAGAAGTACATGTAAGCAAGCATAAATTGTCAGCCATTTTTGCCAGCCGTATTTTCAATAGACCTCCTTTCGCTAGATTTATCATTACATACAATAAAAACTCTATATGTGTATACCCTGCATGTATGTGCAGTTGTATATCCTGACTTGTAGGTTAAACTCACAAAATTAAAAACAAAATCTTTTCTTGCCAAAAATATTGAATCAGATATCTACAATAGGGGACAGAGATCAGTATTTTTTTTTCAGATTGCGGATCTCTTCCTAGCTTTGAAAAAGCAGTGGAAATAAAATCAAACGGACAGTTTCAAACAATTGGTATTGGTTCCCTTAGAATTATCCAATGCTATCCATGGGCTTATGAGAAAAAGTATAGACAAAAAATAATATGTCGGTCTGATGGAAATTGGTCACATTATCAAATCACCTCGTGCAGTATGTACAAATATTATAAATGTGCACATTCAACAAGTAACCTGTAAACGTGTAAACATTATTGTTTTTCTTATTGTTATTGGTAATAATATTATTTCTAAAAACAATTTCTTCGAGTGGACATTTACAAAAGGCATCATTATTTAGAATTATTGCAATGCAATTTTTTTTTTTTTTTTTTTTTTTTTTGTCTCATCATTGTGTGTTTTTTTTTTTTTTTTTTTTTTTTTTTTTTTTTTTTTTTAATTTATATTCATTTTTAACAATCCTGTTTTTAGACTTGGTCACCTGTGCTACTGACGTGACGTCGATAGAGACTCTAGATATTGATAATAAAGAAATTGACGTACCATTTGTTTACTCTGAGGGACACAAATGGACGGTAAGTCAGTAAAACTATAAGTTTTATTTTTAAATGAATTATTTTTTTAAGTCCATCGAGTTTGCAAGAGTTCAGATTTAAATCTTAACTTGATGGGGTTTTTCCTCTTTTTGTATGAACACTTATACCCTTGTCCTATTTACTGATCAATGACAAAAAAATTCCAAACATATATTGGATTTTGCCCCCTTGTATGAAATATGAAGATAACGAACAGTATTCAATCTCGAAAGTCCAATGAAACAAATTTGGAGCAGAGCAAACACGGACCTCAAAATATAGAGGTGGCATCAGGGGCCATGGAGGTGTGAGCATCCCCTGCCGACCAGTCACACCCGCCGTGTGCTCCTTGTCATAATCGAGGGAAAAAAACGTAAAAATCCGTAGACAGTTCAGTGTATTTATAGTGACCTAACAATTAGTATGAAAAACGTCAGTCAGCATTTGACTCAATGATAGGTTGTATGTGCCGACAAGGTCATTGTATCGACCCTAAAACTTGTGAAATGATGACTTCAAAACGAGACTGTTGATATCCTTGTTTCATCAACTTGTTTGTCAATAGCTTGCCTCGTTTTAGAAATTGTTCATACGTAGAGCATGATCTTGCGTCTCGAATCAACTGAGAGAAATAAACCCTACATGCAGTTGAAAAGGGTATATTCCTACATAAGTAAGGGAAGTTGGCGTTTGAAAAGTTGAAGTCATCACGTTTATCATAAAGCTTTTTTGTTAGATTACAATTTACGTCTTTTACTAGTAAAATATCTAAATATGAAACAGATGTGTCAGAATCTGTGGTATCTTTTATTTCAAGCTCATTGTGTAAATTTTAAACTTTAAAAATATCCATCTCACTGTTTCATTTGGGACGAAGGTCTGAAAAAATTGATTGCAAATTTACAAGAAATTGATAAAAATAAATACATTTCGTCTCGTTCAAAATATTTCTCAACCTGGTTGCTATTGTTGAAACCTTCGAAAAAACTTTGGCCGAAATTTAAGGATACAAAGTGCAGATGTATTCATCATCAAGCTTTACTAGAATTTATTACCAATGCAGTTGATACAGTTTTCACTGTTATCATGGAAGTCCTTCATAGAGATTTTTAATGCCATTTTTTGTTATATTTTTTTCTGATTGTTGAATAACCTCTTTGTCCTGTCACTCCCAGAGCAAAAGCTTGTTATATGTAAAAGTGGTAAAGGAACTGAACTTCCACTATAATAAATTGCTTTGTATTGAATTCCATATTAGTATTTGACATTTTTAATTAGGTTATACAAAGAAGATGTTTCAACAACACAGACTTTTATAGACGTTGGTCCGACTACAAGGCTGGTTTTGGTAACTTCAAAGAGAAATCGGATTTTTGGATCGGTATATATGCCTGGGAAATGTATAGATACGATAAATAAATTTACAATCTTCATCAAATAACAACCATGCTTAACAGTATTTTTGATTAGAAGAATTATAGACAATAACTGAACGAATCCTTCTGAATTCATTAAGCACTCAGTTTATTATTTTTATATTCCCTTATTTACACATGTATAATTTTGCAATAGGAAATGACGTAATACACATGTTGACGAAAAATGGTTACAATTATATGAGAGTGGAGATGCTGAAGACAGACAACGAGCCATTAGAGGCAGAATACAGTCATTTCTTGGTCGGTGATGAAAGCACCGAATACAACTTAACAGTTAGTGGATTCACGGGGTTATATGGTGATAATACTATACTATAATCACATTCGAATTGAATATTTTACTATAACCACTTCAATATTCTTTGGGAAAAAAATGATACAGTATAATGAAATACGACGTGACATGAATTGTTTAATACACGTCATTTAATCATCTGCAAATAAATAAAAATTTGGCACTAAAGATTAATTTGCATATCACATCAGGTGACTAGGGGGCGTACATGTAAATATCCCCCGTTAACCGGTCACACCCGCCGTGATCCCTATGTATTGATCAGGTTGTCGAAATATTCCGAAGTCGAATTCAGTGTGAAAACAAAATGAAGACTAACGATTGGAATGAAATATATATCAGCATAAATACGACCCGATGCATGATAGGATACCGTTGCTAACAGGGTCATTATAATGACCATAGCATCTGCGAAATCCTGATAAATGAGGTCGTTGAAATCCTTGTAAAATCAAATTATCTGTCAGAAAACTGCCTAGGTTTTAAAAGTTGTTTATATTCAGAGAATGCTCCTGTGTATCGAATAAGTGGGTGATGAAAACACCATATGCAGGTGATAGCGGAATCCAAGGAAAGTTGACAGTGGAAAAGCTGAAAGTATCTTGTTCGTCTTACAATTTAGTTTTTATTTGTTATCTTTTTTATTTCTAATTCCCTATGGTATGCCTATGTAGAAAACGTAAATAGTTGTAGATAGACCTGGGATTTCGATACATTCCTCAAGAAAGATTATAATAACATACTCCTTACTTTTGCATGCTCCAGTTTAATGCTGTGTACAGATTTGCGATCTAAATAAATGTCGCGTGACCTTGACATAGGGGTAAAAAGGATGCTGGTTACACAACTTTTGTTTTCTGGCACCTGTATTTAGCAGTTTTGCTAGGCAGTTCAGCTGATTTAGTTAAAACTATGTTTTATTTTTTTTTTAAGACAAATATTTTACTGATTACCATATACACAAAATATACAGACTTTGGCTCATTATGTTATTTTGATAATGTTCTTTAAATTGATGTCAAGAGGATGTGTCTGATTAAAAATTAAAATTGATAATGAATATTAAATGAGAAATGTCTGCTACAAAGGATAAAAATTAAGAAAATCTACAAAGAAAATGAAGTAGCCATAAATAATCGATTCTGACTATTTTATTTTTTCACATAAAATAACATGTCTAAATGTGTCAGACTAAAACTGATATTTTTTTTTTAGATTGTATGACAAACAAGATTGATAAAAGAGCAGACGCAAATGGGCTGAAATTCAGCACAATTGATGTAGAAAACGATCCATGGAAGAATGGAATCTGTGCTTATCATTGTAAGTCAGGCTGGTGGTTTCATTCTTGTACCTGTGGGAATGTTAATGGATTGTTTGGAAATGAGAAAACAAGTTTTGTGATGCGTTGGATGTGCGCAGATGGGTGGATATGTCCCCTCCAAGCCACAAGAATCCTTATCAGACCCTAGATGTTATACAATTACATGTTCATTACAACAAATTGCAGAAGAGACCATATATATGATAAATAATGCAAATTGATGGCAATAAAAACTCATGCAAATTTAACAGATAGTTTACAGGTTAGATACACTCGAAGTAATTTTTAATAGACGAGAATAGACAGTAACGTGCTATTTCAAAAAAAACCCTTGTTAGTAGCTACTTTTGCTCAATGTATATTGAGGCTGTAATTTTAACTTACAGTAGAAAAAAATTGATATATAGGGAAATATAATGTTTTCTATATGCAACAGTAATTGTTATTTTTTAAAGAATTTTGTATACCATTTTAATCTTAATACACGACTACGTAATGATTCTGATAAATATACACTATTGTTCAAGCATAATATATCTTAAGAATTAGAATAGGACTTCGGAATTAAGTATACCAAGAGTGCAAGGCTTAAAAAACCTTTGTCTGTCCAAAGGATTCTTATTACTGTTTCAGAATAGGGGTATTATTTTTTCACAACTAAATTAAATTACTATATCGTACAATGAGACTATTTATACCTATAACTTTAATATACATTAATAAGTATCCAGCTTTCGTATCTCTTTGCTTGGGTATCTAGGTATCATTTTACATCCATAATATAATATTTATTGTGAAAAAGGATTCCACACAATTTCAACAGAATGTATTATAAACGAATTTTTTATTCAAAAATATCGTAAAACAAAAAAAAAATGAAAACAACTTGAGGCTGCAACGGAAGATAAGAATAATTTTTTTTATTTGATTTTTGTTTTTGTTTTTCTTTTTACAGAATGAATTATTTTTTCAGTAACACATCATCATTGTGCACTTTTTCTTTATTCAAAGGATTTGACAGATACTGAAAACAACTCCTTAAAGTAAGGTTAAAGATCAAAAATCGAAAACTGGTTTTGATGTTCTGAAAATGATTTGTTGATAAACGGTTAAGAAAGAGTAATTTTTTTCTCAACAAGGGAGACAGTTTAAAGCATATATTTTACTTATATGTAAAACACTATTCCTATTGTATTTATTTTATACCTTTTAAGCATTGCTTCTCCTTTGAAGTGAACATATATTTTCTTAGGAAACATTGTCTTCTAATTGAATTACCTAGGATAAAGGATTTGTTTACAATGGGGAAAAAATCTATTCATTGAATTGTATACTTATTGAAACGTTACAGGTAAGTGCTATTTTACTGATTGAAGCAACAAGCCATGATATTCCAGCACCATACTCTTTCGCTTGGAAATTTTGAAAGAAAATTTTCATTTGAAAAAGAAATGAAATATGGAGATAACGAACAGTAATCAAGCTCAAAGGTCCATTGAAACAATATAATTAAATTGATAGCGGAGAAAACACGGACCTCTAAATCAGCAGAGGTGTGATCAGGTACCATGGACGAGTAAGCATCCCCCAGGGTTTTCCATCATTTGAAATTTTACTGTGCTGCAGACTTTACGCAAAGCATTAATATTTGCGTTTTTTTCGCGATTAAATTCGCCCCTTTTCATTATAAATGTAATTACACAAGAATACGTGCAAACACACAACTTTTTTGTTCCACTAATTCGTTACATAAAATGGTATGGTCGTACATATTAATGAAAAATAAATTAATGGATATTGATTGAAAACAGTTAGAATGTCCCCAACTATATATAATAATGTACATACTATAACTCAAACTAACTAATCCCCCTTGCATTAAAAAAAAAATAAACACGATTTAAAGAAAAATAGTTATATAATATAATTATATCGGTATCTACAAGTTGTAAGTATTAAAACTTAATATTTTTATATATAACTTTATATTTTACACAATCACTGAAGAGCAGAGGAAATTCTGGTCAATGCAATCAAACTACTTACCATCTTCAAAAGTTAGTTTGCCCTGATTTTTGATAGTTGATCGAATTACCTGTGAGTTTTTGAATTTAGAAAGAAACTTTAGAATACTAGAATACTTTAAGGGGGTCCTTTAAATTCTTCAACAATAGATGTACATCAATTAAATGATTACGATGTCATGATGTTAAACTCACAGTGCCATCAAAGTTCTAAGAGACTTCTTCTGAAGTAAAGGCATACATGTATATTCAATTAATTTTTATAAAAAATATTTTAAAATGCAACTAACAATTATACGGTCATATAGATGAAAAAAAAAATGATTTGTCTTTGTTCCTTCATGCGCAAAGTCCAGAGAGGGTCTAGGAGATAGTTGATAATGCAAGGTGAAGCAAGACAGTGTGCCCTAATTAAGAGATAATTAAATACTCTGCATTAAAAATTGAAAGACGGTAAATTTGTTTGATTAAAGTTTCAGTTAAAGAAAATTTATGTTTTGATTTTCTGATTATCACGGATCTTACTGTGTCGCAAAATTTTTTTACTGTGTGGCACGCATAAAATTTGAATCGTTACTGTATAGGGGAAATTTTACTGAGTCGGGGCCGATACAATTTCTAGAACGAGACTGTATACATCCTTGTTTCCTTATAATTAAAATAATGAGCCTTAAAAACAATGACGATTTTGTTATCTGCTCTGTCATTTGGAATCGATAGATATTGATCGTGTTATCAATCTAATTCTTTTTTTCACTTCTGAATTATTGAAGACAGAAAGACGATGTTTTTCAATTTGCCCCTCAATCGATTGATGGTAGATTTCAACATCCATCTGATATATTTAATCCATTCTGACAAAGTTAAAAGTCTTCCTTTTTATGTTTGGCCCATCACTTGGCGTAATCTTCCACAGAATGTTTACTATTTATGACGCCGTTTGAAAGCTTGCGGTTCTCTAAATTTCAGCTCTCTTAAAATAAGTGCTTTAATGTCCTCATTATTGATAACATCTACGTCACCAATAATGGCGTGTCCGGCAGGATTGAAGGGTGATGAAGAGCATGAACATGTTGGAAGATTATGTTTCAGATGTTATCTGTGCTCTGTAGATACTTTATTAAAAAAAGTTTGGTAGCAATAGTCGATGTATATTAAGTATTGTAAGACGTACAGGTGTAAACTTCAACTTGAAATATGGTGGAATACAAAATCGGACTCTTATGTGAATAATAATTCTATTTTTATTTCCTGTGTCAATTCTTTTGTTTGTAAATTGAAGTTCAAGGAACAAACAGGTTGCTTGAGCAGTATTCTCCTCCGTAAAACTTGACGGTTTAAAAAGTTTATGATTTCTAATATCAATAATCACAGGTCGGAGTCTTAATACTGATGTCGATGAATACAAATATTGACTTTACGTGACCTTTTCAAATAGACTATTTCAAAGTTTCAAGTTGCAAATGTGACGAAGACCTAACTGTTTATTTACAAAAGGTAGTAGTGAATCAAAGAAGACATGCTATTTGAGTAGGTGATTATGGCGTGTAAAACGTTGCTTTATTCGATAATCTTGTGATGTATATTCAAAATCTTGTGATGTATGTTCAAAATCTTGTGATGTATATTCAAAATCATGTGATGTATGTTCAAAATCTTGTGATGTGTATTCAATATCTTGTGATGTATATTCAAAATCTTGTGATGTATGTGCAAAATCTTGTTATGTATTTTCAAAATCTTGTGATGTATGTTCTATAATCTTGTGATGTATATGCAATATCTTGTTATGTATATTCAAAATCTTGTGATGTATGTTCTATAATCTTGTGATGTATGTGCTATATCTTGTTATGTATATTCAAAATCTTGTGATGTATATTCAAAATCTTGTAATATATGTTCAATATCTTGTGATGTATATGCAAAATCTTGTGATGTATGTTCTATAATCTTGTGATGTATATTCGATAATCTTGTGATGTATATGCAATAATCTTGTGATGTATGTGCAATAATTGCATTTTGGGTAATATGACGCAATAGTGTTCTCGTTAAGTAAGGACAATTTTCATTGGTTGGAAATAACGAAAGTAGCGGGGTGATGCATACGTAGATCAATTGGACTTTCATTTCTTTCGTTTTGATCGCCGAAATATTGCCAACTCGGCGTTAAAAAATAATTATCAATCAGTCTCTCGTTTTGATACAAAGAAAAGAGACATAAGATATGGATTATAGCCTATATGCAGGTATATCAGTGAGGAAGATATAAATGTAATTAACGTGATAAAGAGAGTGAAGTCCTCAAATCATCGAAAATCTTAATATTTCTAAAGAAAAACAATAGCTCTTCATCAAGTTTTTTTCTTCTCCTGTAAAAGAGCTGATCGGTAGTCTAGTAATAATGAAAACACAAAAAAGATTATCTTCTTGTCATATTAATTAGGGTGATTACTTCCAGCATAATTTTATATTTGGAATATACTCATGATAAATTTGAAGAGTATATATATAGAAGTTTAAGGCTTATCTAATTACAGTGTCAACTACACTCTATCTTTTGTATGTTTTTTTCTTCAGTTCGCAGCAGGGTACTGTATACATCGATCACTTTCATATGATTTTCTCAGTGTATTACACATGTAGTGGGACAGCTGATTAGGTTTGACATTAGATATTGTGATTGGTCACCTGCAGTCATGATTGCTAAAACTGGTGACCAACTTGATGCAACCTAATGTTTAAACCTGTGTGACCTACACTTGTCATGCTCATCTCACAGATTTTTTGTAAGCCTTCCAGTCATTTTTAAATATACAATGTACATGCATGCTTCACATGGAGAGTTGTAACTTGTTAGAGGAAGTCAGATAAAACCCCTGTTTTTTCCCTGTCAATTGAAAAGCAAAATATCACTGTCTAAATCTTCTGCAGAGTTGTATCAGCTACAGCCTTGATAGATGCTACTAAAATGACACAAGTCATTCCATCACATATACACATGTAGATATGCTTGCAATGGCTTACATATCTCTTACATAAATCATCATACTTCATAACATTTTGCTCAAAGCTAATACATCAGATGTTTGTCATAGTACTACATAGTGAGGTTCAAATTCTAAAATCAGTGCAGGAGTCCTTAATTATCTTACATGTATCTGATGAAAGATTCATCATTCACTGAATC